TTATTAATTGCCTTATATAATTGGCTGCTCCCATGTTAGGGGCATAGATATTTACAATTGTTAGATCTTCTTGTTGGATAGACCCTTTAAGTAGGATATAATGTCCTTCCTCATCTCTTATTACAGTCTTTGGTTTAAAATCTAATTTGTCTGATATAAGGATTGCCACCCCAGCTTTCTTTTGGTGTCCACTAGCATGGCAAATGGTTTTCCACCCCCTCACTTTCAATCTGGGGGTGTCTTTGGTTCTAAAATGAGTCTCTTGCAGACAGCATATCTATGGGTCTTTTTTTTTAATCCAGTCTGATAGCCTGTGTCTTTTGATTGGGGCATTTAGCCCATTTACATTCAGGGTAACTATTGAAAGATAGGAATTTAGTGCCATTGTCTTGCCTGTAAGGTGACTGTTACTGTATATTGTCTGTGTTCCTTTCTGGTCTATGTTGCTTTTAGGGTCTCTCTTTGCTTAGAGGACCCCTTTCAAGATTTCTTGTAGGGCTGGTTTTGTGTTTGCAAATTCCTTTAGTTTTTGTTTGTCCTGGAAGCTTTTTATCTCTCCTTCAATTTTCAATGACAGCCTAGCTGGATATAGTATTCTTGGCTGCATATTTTTCTCATTTAGTGCTCTGAATATATCCTGCCAGTCCTTTCTGGCCTGCCAGGTCTCTGTGGATAGGTCTGTTGCCAATCGAATGTTTCTACCATTGTAGGTTACATATCTCTTCTCCCAAGCTGCTTTCAGGATTTTCTCTTTGTCTATGAGACTTGTAAGTTTTACTATTAGATTTCGGGGTGTTGACCTATTTTTATTGATTTTGAGAGGGGTTCTCTGTGCTTCCTGGATTTTGATGCCTGTTTCCTTCCCCAAATTAGGGAAGTTCTCTGCTATAATTTGCTCCATTATACCTTCTGGCCCTCTCTCTCTTTCTTCTTCTTCTGGGATCCCAATTATTCTAATGTTGTTTCGTCTTATGGTATCGCTTATCTCTCGAATTCTGCCCTCGTGATCCAGTAGTTGTTTATCTCTCTTTTTCTCAGCTTCTTTATTTTCCATCATTTGGTCTTCTATATCACTGATTCTCTCTTCTGCCTCATTTATCCTAGCAGTTAGCGCCCCCATATTTGATTGCACCTCATTAATAGTCTTTTTGATTTCTACTTGGTTAGATTTTAGTTCTTTTACTTCTCCAGAAAGGGTTTCTCTAATAACTTCCATATTTTTTTCAAGCCCAGCTAGTATCTTTAAAGTGATGATTCTGAACTCTAGATTTGACATCGTACTAATGTCCATATTGAACAGGTCCCTGGCAGTCGGTACTACCTCTTGTTCTTTTTGTTGAGGTGATTTTTTCCGTCTTGTCATTTTGTCCAGAGGAGAATAGATTAATGAGAGAACAAAATGCTAGCAGAGTAACAACGTCCCCAGAAAATATACTCTAAACAAATCAGAAAAGACCTGAAGCAGTGGAAAAAGAAAGGGAAAGAGAGAAAAAAGAAAAAGAAAAAAAAGAAAAAGAAAAAGATAAAGATAAAAACAAACAAAACAAAACAACAACAACAAAAAAACCGAGAATGTGATCAAATATGATCAGGCTGGTATATAGATCAGTGCCACACACTAGATTTGGGGTGTATTTTGGTCTGTTAGAAGAAAGTGCCTCCCAAAATTTTAAAGAAAGAAAAACTTATATATGTACAAAAATAAGGGTTAATTTGATGAAGGGATGGAATATGACTGTAAAGATGGAAATTATAAAAAATTTTATAAAAGGAATTGATAAGACGTTGTTTGAAAAAAGAAAGAAGAGGATTTAAAAAAAGAAAAAAGAAAAAAAAAAGGAGAGAATGTGATCAGGCAGGGGAGTAGAAAAATCTATATTCTAGAGATTTAGGGTATATTTTAATCTGTTAGAAGAAACTATCTCAAAATTTTAAAGAGAGAACAACTTATATATATATACATACCAAAAATACAGGTAACTACTATGAAGGGATAGAATATGACTCTAAAAATGAAAAATAAAAATGTTTTTTTAAAAAAGGGATTGATAAGATGTTGGTTGAAAAAGGGAAAAAAAAAAAGAAAAAAGACAGTTAAAAAAAAAATTAACTTTGAAAGACTAAAGAATCCTGGTAAAAAAGCTATGAATTCTATGTGCAGTATTCCCTTAGCGCTGGAGTTCTGCCGTTCTCATTGATTGGTAAACTTGGTCTTGGCTGGCTGTTCTTGCTGATCTTCTGGGGAGGGGCCTGTTGCTGTAGTTTCTAAATGTCTTTGCCAGAGGCGGAATTGCCCCGCCCTTGCCCGGTCTGGGCTAAGTAATCTGCTCGGGTTTGCTCTCCGGAGCTTTTGTTCCCTGCGAGCTTTCCGTACAGCTTTGGAGGCGGAGAGTGAAAACGGTGGCCTCCCAATCTCTGCCCCAGAGGAGCTGAGAACTCGGGCCCCGCTCCTCAGTGAGCCCCCAGAGAAAAGCGTCAGTGACTCCCGCCTCCCCAGTCTCCAGCCGCACTCCGTGCTCACCCAGCTTGTGACCGAGCGTTTCTATCTCTGGCACCCGACCCCGGGTGGAGTCTCCAAACCCAGCAGATCCCCACGGTGCACTCCCGCGTGGCTCCTCCCGGGGGAAGAAGGGGAGTCTCCCCGGATCTGCCGCTTGTTGGGTCCCTGCTGGAGGAGCAGGGGCCCGACTGTGCCGCGGATCACGGTTTATGGCCACCCGGAGCTGAGAGCCCGCGCCTGGGCTCCGCCTCTGCAGCCGGCTTCCGTGCTCCTTACCTGGGAGCTCTGCCACACTCAGGCACCCCCGGTCTTTCTGTGACCCTGAGGGTCCTGAGAGCACACTGTCCCGGAGGGTCCAACCCCCGCTTAGCCACCAGAGTGATGTCCCTCAGCGGAGCAGACTTTTAAAAGTTCCGATTTTGTGCTCCGTGGTTCTATCACTTGCCAGAAGCGGCTGACGGTGGCCCCTCCCCCGCCGTCTATCCTCCCGAATATCACCTCGGATTCACTTCTCCGCACGTCCTACTTTCCAGAAAGTGGTCGCTTCTCTGATGAGAGAGTTGTTGCTCTTCTTTTCTTCGCTCTCCTGTTGAGTTTGTAGGTGTTCAGAATGGTTTGATCCCTATCCAGCTGAATTCCTGAGAGGAGACGAAATCCAGGTCTCCTACTCCTCCGCCATCTTGCTCCGCCCCCCTGGCTTTATTCTTCTAAGTCAGTCCCTTTTCCTGCCTTGAGATCTCAGGGCCCAAGCTTCTTTAATCATGCTTGTATAAATTTCTTTTCATGGGAAGAGAAATTAAAATCTCAAGCCTAGGAGAAGTCTGTGCATGGGTGGGAGGGGTGGAAACAGTTCCCATATGCAAAGATGCACATTGGGCACTCGGTGGATTTCTGGCTTTCTTTTACTCACCTTTTAAGGCCTGGGGCCAACCGTAGAGGAGACAGGGATTTTCAGATTATTCACTAAGGGGTCTTTATATCCTCTAGAGGGAAAAATAAGTTCCCAGGACACAAGCGGAAGTTTCACCCAAAGATTTATAAGAACCTATAAGTGGCCCAGAGGAGCAGCTCAGGGTTGGGGGTGAGGGTCCCTTTCGGCTTGGCCTGGCCTCTGAAAGTGTGGCTTTTTGCTTTTGACTACTGAGGATGAAACCCATCTGTGATACTTTCTTGGAGCCAAGCTTCTCTGGACTTCATCCTTCATGAGTTGACATCCTTAAAAGTCTGTTCCTTAGGGAAATGTAACCTCAATGTGGAAGGGCATGCATTTCTAATCCAGCTAGACCTAGTTGGGGATCTGGTTCCATCTTTTGCTAGCTGTATGACCTTGACGTTCAGTCATCCACTTAAAAACCATCCTGTAGTGCTGACTCTGGGCCAGCCACCATGCTGGGTTTGGGGATCAAGTAGTGGGTACCTTTCATTGCTCCCTTTGCTTTACTTTCTGGCCATGAGCAAGTCATCAGCTGGTTAACTTCAAAAATATATCAAAAAATTGGGCTACTTTTTCCCATCCTCTCATCTCTTTCCAGGCTGTTAGAATAAGTTCCTTGATTCTGTTCTTCCCTCTAATTATTTGCCTCAATTCATTATCTACACAGCAGCCAGGGTAATCTTTTAAAAACATGCACCAGATTAATATTCTTTTGTTAAACCCCTCTGGTTATGCTCGGACATACTGAGAATGAAGTCCAACTCCTCCTCATGGCTCACTAGGTCCTGCGTGGTCTGGTTTCCACTTCTCCTCTGATCACATCTGACATCCTTTTCCCCCACATCCAGTGGGCTTCAGTCATGCCAGACTTCTATCTCTGCCTGAGAACATCGAGCTTGTGCCACCGTGGGGTCATTACGCCAGTTATGCTCTCTGCCTCGGATAATTTCCCTTACAAGTTTGAGTGGCTGGTTTCTGGTTGTCATTCATTCAGGTTTCAGTTCAAACGCTGTCCCTTCCCTGCTCCTCATGTCACATTCTATCCAGTCACCAGGTCCCCACCCTTGCCTCTTAGTTAGCTCTTCCCACAATTTGAAGTTATCTGGATTCGTTTACTAGACCAAGCTCCACGAGAGCAGGCATCATGCTGTTTCCTTCCTTGCTGTCCATCCAGTGTCTAGAACAGTTCCTGGCACAGAAGAGTAAATACTTGTTGAGTAAAGTTGCTTAATTCTCTGGGGCCTCAGTTTCTCCCTTGTCACACGGAATAATAATTGGCTAACGGTACAAGGTTGTAATTAGAATTAAGTGAGATAATACGTGTAGGGGAAGTACTTAGTACAATGCTTGGCTCACAATAAGCCAAATAATAGTTTGTCATTGTTTCCTTATAATTATTTGTATTATAATGTTCATTTCCATTCTCCCATCCTCCTCTAGTACCTGTTCTTGCTCCTAATGATCCATCTGGAGTGTCATGAGCATTTGTCAGTGGCAGATGCTGACTGGTTAGATGCTTGCAGTGGAATCCTAACTTACTTCTCTCTTGACTGTGTTTTTCTGCAGGTTCTGCAGCTGGGCTCAGACATCCTTCCCCAGTACAAGCAAGAGGCCCCGAAGACTCCGCCTCACATCATCTTACATTACTGTGTTTTTAAGACCACGTGGGATTGGATCATCTTGATTTTAACCTTCTACACAGCCATCCTGGTCCCTTACAACGTCTCCTTTAAAACCAGGCAGAACAATGTGGCCTGGCTGGTTGTGGATAGCATCGTGGATGTCATCTTTTTGGTGGACATTGTGCTGAATTTTCATACTACCTTTGTTGGACCAGCTGGGGAGGTGATCTCTGACCCCAAACTCATCCGCATGAACTACCTGAAGACGTGGTTTGTGATTGACCTTCTGTCCTGTTTGCCATATGATGTCATCAACGCTTTTGAGAACGTGGATGAGGTTAGTGCCTTTATGGGTGATCCAGGGAAGATTGGTTTTGCTGATCAGATTCCACCACCCCTGGAGGGGAGAGAGAGTCAGGTACATGCCTCAAATCTCAGACCTTGTTGTCATGTCTTGAAAGTTGAATAAATGTGGGTGGTCAACAGAAGAGTCATTATGTGGGTGGGAACTGGCATGGCTGATGTTTGGAACGGAGGGAGCATGCTTGATAGATATTCTCGCCTGCTGTTTTTGTCCTTTGGAGGATTGGAGGCCCTGCATGTCTGTGAATGGGTGTGGAAGAGACCAGAGGCTTCCCTTTTATTTCATGTGGCGTGCAAGCCACTGGCTTGGGGTGGTGGGGCTGCAGACGCAGGCATGCATCGCCACTGCGCTGGTGAATCTTTCACTTGGTATGCAATTGCTAAATGTCTACCTATTGATTATTCTAATTATGGGGATTTTTCTGTCACCTGCTGCTGACTTTTGGCTGTTTCATAAATAATTAACTCCTGGCAACAGGGATGCTATTTTCCCCCCAAGTTTGCTTGCTTTTTTTTTTTTCTTGGTAAATGTTGGAAAAAGAAGTTGTTTCTGTGCTAAAATGAGTTTTGGCGGTGACCAATGGCATTCAGTTGTCCATACTCTCCCTTGTGTAAATTTGCTGAGGTAGTCAGGCTACGGCCAAGTCTGGCCCTGTGACTAGGAGGGGGGTAAGTACTATTGCTGGATGATGCTGCTTTGGATGGTTAGTCCTGCAGGCAGTGGAAGGAATGAAAAGGAGACAAATGCTCTGTAAGTGTGTTGGAATTAGGACATGCACAAGCAGTCAGTGAACGAATGGGTGCCTGCAACATGTTGCATAAGGAAGGGACCACTGGCCTGGTTCAGGTGATTTTCTCCTTTGAAGAAGCGAGGACATCAAGTCATCACAAAGGAAAATGTCAGATTCTTATCCAGCTTCAGTGTTCTATGGGAGTTGTTCTTCCTTTTTCCTCCTGCCTTGTTGATCCTCCAAATGGATGAAGATAAGGTAGTTCGTCTGGTAAATCTTCAGCCTTATAGAGCAGTGGGCCCTCACTGTCTTGGATTACAGAGGGTCCCAGAAGTCTCAGTCTGGCTGGGGTGTTAACTGGGTGGGTAATTCAGGAAGCCATCTGGAAGTTGAGTTGAGGCAAGATTCACTCTCAGGGCTAGAGGGCTAGTGGAACTAGCCTTGAGATAATTGGAAGGAACAGCCAGCTCCCTGCCAAGACAAGGCCTGGCCAGTGTCTCCGACTTGCTGGGGACATAATGATGCCTCCTGGCCTTCCGGTCAGTATCAGATTGGGGGAGGACTTCAGCCGCTTCCTCGGTGGGAACCCAGCTACCTAGCACTTCCCTCTCCAGAGAAGAGGAGCTGATGTCCAGATGCTCTAAACTCAGAACAAACCCTGCTTTTATCTGTGTGCTGTGTTTTAGTATACTTGGAAATCCCAGGGAATAGTGCTCTGGGTGGCTTGTGTGGATTTTGTAAGGGGATTAAATGAGTGAGACTGATCATTTACAAGAACAAAACATCCCTAAAGTGAATGTTGGGATTCTTTAGTGTGAATCTGAGGACACACTGGGAATGATATTTTTCTCTGTGAGCCCATTTCTAGAAGATTTTATGTTAGTTGGTGAGGAAAATATGATCATTTTGGCTTAGACAACGCAACGGAATTATTTCAACCTAAAAGAGCTTCTTACACACATATGGGAAATGAAATTTAATTTAAAAAAAAAAAAACCTCTCAAGTTTTTAAAATAAACCATTTGCTATTTGGAGCAAAGGCATTGAAAATTTGCAGATAAAGAGAACAGTGCTCCAGTTTTCACAGGTTCTTGTTAAACACGGGCAAGCCATAAACATATTCGTAAATGTGTCAAGATTACCTTGTCGGTTAGCAAAGCAGAGAGCCTCCCCTCAAGCACCGTGTGTGTCACGTTGGAAGTCCTCTGCCATCCATTGTGAGTACCCCTGATGTGGTTTCTGATTTCCACAGTCATGAAATAGGTTGGCGGATAGGAAAAATGCCAGTTATCCATAGCTTTCTAGTTGGAAAGAGTTCAGCATCGAAGTTCTCATTACCATCTCTCGGTCATAAATAATAATATGAGTATTAAGGGGCTATTGTTATGATTTGCTTCCATGAAGACTTGATTTTACGTCTAGTAATATCTATTTCAAGCTTTGGCTACCACCCGAAACAGTGCCTTTTCATAACATTGGTTGTGATGTGGGGGAGTCAGCGCCAGGGAACTGAAAATTTGGCTTCTGGCCCTTTGGTATCACCTGATAGCACAGCTGGGACTTTGTGCATGCCATTTAGCCTCTGGATCAGTTTTCTTATCTACACCTTGGGGATCATGCTATCTTTGGGCATTTGGGCAGTAGATTGTTTGAGTTCCCTGCTAGCTGCAAAGTGAGTTTGGTGAGTTCTAAAATCTCATCTGCATTCGTCTTACCTCCCGGAGCTGATGATAAAAACAGGAAGCCTAGCACTTTGAGCTCCCACCTGCAGGGGGGATGGGAGGGAGGTGGGATGGGATGAGGGTTCAGAGACCAGGAGGACCATGAAGGTCATCCAGTTCAACCCTCTTAGCTCACAAATAAGGGAACAGACGCAGGGGGAATGTGACTCACTCGAGATGACACAGTAAATCATATATATGGCTATGGCAATAATGAGTCCCCTTCTGACTCCTCTCTATTCTTCATGGGACAGAGTGGATAAAATAGGGACAAGACGCTGATGGACACAGTTGAGTCAAAACTGACCAAGAAGCTTCCAAAGTCTGTGGCCCAGCCCTTGGCCTGGTAGTGGTGGGGACGTTGGGCACTGTGTACAATGAGGTGGGCCTCTGCATTCCCCCCCAGAACAGCTGTGTTGGTGATGAGATAGGCAGTTGAGGATGCTCGCGGAGGGACAGACCCAGCATGGTTTTCCAGGCATAGGCCTTTTGTTGAAAGGCACCATTAAATTAGTGGAAATGGAAGATTGGTGGGGCTTAGAGGAGGTTGGGGAAGGCACGAAGGGCGCCTCAGCTGTTGAACCTGGGTATGGCTGGGTGGGAAAATTCCAATTAATGGTTTCCCATCCACTGTCTGCTGTCTTCTTGGCCATGCTCTGTTGTGGAGTTGCTAATCTAAGATTGCAATGCCCTCTGCTCTAGTCCCTTTCTTTGGGAGAGTGTGGGGAGGAAAAAAAATTATTGACTCATTTTTCATAAAAAATACATGGAGCTGAATCATCTCTGGTGTCCTCCTAATTATGCCAATGGACTTGTGTCCCAGTGGGACCACCAAAGAAGAGAGGAATGTGTGGTGGTGGCTTTGCCATCTGTGTGTGTGTCGGGGGACTGGGGCGTGGGTGTCGGGTGGGGGCTCTTGAAGTGAAAGGACTAGATCCACCCAAGGCTTGGGTTAAGAAAGAATTGGGTTAAATTGCTAATGCCAGCAATTGTGAATTCAGTCCTGTGGATGTCGCCCACCTCCGTGATGTAAGTCACACAAACGCGAGCCCTTTGGACTCAACTTGTTTCACTTATGTAGATGGCCTACATTTGCGTCATTCTCCAGTCTGTTGGTCATAATCTGTTTTGGAGGCTGTTTGGGAATATGTTTGCACATTAGTTAAGCTGGTGAGAGGACAAAAGGTCTGGCAACTGGATGAACTGAAGCTTGCCATGGGTCTGCTGAAGCAAGAGCCAGATGAGTTTTTCTCAAGTGCTTAGCAGATTACTGGCCTGGTGAGCTTCATGGATTAAATATGGAATTATTATTCACAAAACATATTCCTTTTCTCCAGGAAGCCTTGTTGCCTTCTGCCATTGGAGTGTAGAAGTGCCCAGGGATGAATGGAGCCAATTAGGCTCCCTCCCAGGTCACAGTTCTGGGACCAAGAGCTTCCTTCCATCCCTGGTTCTGTAACCTGGGACAGCAGCTGGTGGTGTTGACAGAGCTGACCCTTGCCAAGAGCCCACTCTCACAGGAGATGCTCCCCGTAGAGCAGAACAGGAACAAGGAGTGGAAAGATGGATAGTATTGACAACAGCTTCCCTTTAGCTAGGGTGTTTAACTATCCTAAACATTTCACACAGGTTATATTTGTTCTGATTCTTCTGTGGCAAGTCCCTCTGCCACCCAGCTGTGCAAAATTGTGCAAGCGTTTCATCTCCCTGGACTTTGTTTGCCTCCCCTGCAAGATGGGTCCATCCCAGCTCTAACCTTGAGGCCCCTGGGCATCTGTTATCCCAGCATTGCAGCTAGGGGAAAGAGCCTGGCTGTCCAGGCAGTGAAGTTGAGCTTCAGGCTTCTGACTTCTGGACCTGTGCAATTTTCCCCAGGCAGGTCATGCTGCCTCATGACAGAATCTGGAGCCAGAGTGAACCAAGCTGTGCATTTTCGTCCCTGAGTCCTCCTTTCCAAATCGTTCCTTGGCACGGTCACTTCCACTCCCCTCTGCACACAGCTGATAGGTGAGAAGTTTGAGCGGCTGGCGTGGACAAGCCTCCATGAAGGGTGCTGGTCCAGGGGCACAGGGCTGGACAGTGAGGGTGAAGGTCAGAAGTGATTCCAACGGCAGGTCGCCCCTCTGCTTTTCTCTCCTTGGCAGATGGGCTCCCTTCTAGGTTCTCCTAGGTTCACTGTTCCTGGCTCTTCCAGGCTTTTCCTGATGCCGAAAGCAAATTGGACCCCTGTGTGTTGCTCGTCCTGTTAATTTGTGGTCGTCAGTCCTAATCTGTGGTTTTGATTTAGGTGGATGGACACCAGTTTAATTTTCACACAGGTGACTGGTCTGCTGTCAGCTGGAAGTCACGAGGTAGCCTGGAATTTGCTTCCCTCGAGTACCCGCAATAGAGGCCACATCCATGGCTTGTAGTAGCCATTAACATTAAGACTTTCTCAGAGCAATTTTAGGTTCATAGAAAAATGGAACAAAAAGCGCAGAGACTGCAGTTTCCCTATCACTGCCATCTTGCATTGGTGTGGT